GGATCAAATGCAGAGTAACTGGAACTTGAACTGTTATGCCTATGGAATGTTCTGCCTGCTATGCCTCAGTGAATACCCTGGTACTTTCTACTTTTTGCTATGAAGTTGTAATTTTACAGCAGCAATATATAATTTTATCTACTAGATCTAGTTTTTGAAATTTAGTGCTTTTTCTAACAGGATCCATTTTTGTGAATGTTCGCAAAAACAGAAGACGAGGTTCAGCTTTCAGAAGGGTAAGTTCAGTCTGTCTACTTCCCAGTTGTAACATCAGACTCTGGAGCCAGATCAGTAGGAACCAAAATCCGATTCACTATTGTGATCTTATTAAATTTATATCATCTCTCTGTGCCTGTTTCCTCATCTTTTAAATAGTGTAGCAAACTGATCTTCCACTTACAGCGCCAACTTCTCATTTGTCCATGGTTTCAAGTCCCAACTGCTCCACTTCTGGTCCAGCTCCCTGCTTATGACCTAGGAAAGTAGCAGAGGATAGCACAAAGCCGTGAGACCCTGCTCCCCAAAGAGAGACCTAGAAAGAAGCTCCCGGTTTCTGGCTTCAGATTGGCCTAGCTCTGTTGCACCCATTTGGGGAGTGAACCAGCAGATGGAAGACCTCTTTTTTTGTCTCTCCTTCTCTAATACCTGCCATTCAAATAAAAATAAAGAAATCTTTAAAAAAAAATAGTAAAATGACTATAATAATAGCATCTACCTTTCTGAGTTATTGCTAGGATTACATTGATTCCTATGTGGAAAACATTTAGAACAATGTCTAGAATGAAATAAATACTGTGTATGTGTTAACTGTGATAATTATGTACAGCTACCTTGTTAATAAATTATTCAGTTCTTCTAGAGTAGTCCATGGTTCAATGAAAATACAGTGTTAGCCACAAGTGCACTTTTAAATTTAAGGTGGCCATATAAAGAAAAAAAATTTTTGAGAGATAAAATTTTATTTAACCTATTATATATAAAATTGTTATCACAGCAAGTAATCAATGTAAAATGATAATAAATGTCATAATTTGGCATGTCCTGTTCTTATGGCACATGTCAGTTTGGACTAGCCATGTTTCAAGTGCTCAATAACCTCATTTAGCCGGTGACTATTATATTGAATAGCACAGGAATAACACCTTATTTATGTACTTGGTTATTTCATGAGTGAAGGAGAAATACATGTTATATCCCATTAGTATGTTTCTATTCTTACCCTTGAATCAGCTATATTTTATGTATAATAAATGATGCTCTGTAATTTGGTGCAAAGATATTCATAGAGACATTTCATTGTAAACTGTATCGTTTAGCATTAAAATGGGCCTGCTTTTGCTCTTAAATTTGTGCTATTTGCCTTGAATGTAATTTCATGCGATGCTACATTTATAACTAGTGTTTTATTTGTTTCTTTTGCCTGGTCATATTTCCCCATATTTTTAAAAGCTTTATTTTTATTGGAAAGGCAAATATACAGAGAGGACAGACGGAAAGCTTTTCTGTCTGCTAGTTTACTCAGTAAGTGGCTATAATGGCCAGAGCTGAGCCAATCCAAAGCCAAAAGTCAAGAGCTTCTTCCAGGTCTGCCATACAAGTGCAGAGTCCTAAGGTGTTGGGCCATCCTCTACTACTTTCTCAGGCCATAAGCAGGTAGCTGGATGGGAAATGGAACAGCCAGGAACTGGAGCCCATATGGGATCCCTGTGCATGCAAGGCAAATATATAGGATCCCAGTGGTTGCAAGGTGAGGATTTAGCCACTTAGGCTATCACACTGAGCCCTTGTGTCATTTTCTAGGATTTATTTGAAAGCCATAGTCAAAGACTCTTCCGCCCAATGGTTTAACCACATAAATGATCTCAATAGCCAGAGTTAGAACATGCTGAACCCAGTATCAAGAACTCCATCCTAGTTTCCCACAAGACTTTGGAGTTACCTTCTACTTACCTCCACAGGTATATTAGCAGTGAGCCAGACTGGAAACAGGTTAGCTGGAACTCAAACAGAAACTCCAATGTGGAATCGTGGCTTAATCCACTGTCCTATAACACTGCCCCACAGGATATTGTACTCATTGCCTGTTGCTGAGGTCTGTGCAGTAGATATGGATGACATGAAAGTGTGAAGAGAACAGCTCCTGCTGTTTGGCAGGGCCCAGCAGATGTCTCTCTGACCACTTTGATGCAGTTTCATCCCCCTTTTTGCACGGACATTCAAGTACCCCACTACTAAGAATTCTGTAATCTATTGAGGCATTGTTGTTTGCCCATGTGAGATGGCTTTTGTAACTGATGTGAGCTTGGGAGTTAATGCTATTGATAATGTCCTGGTGAGTGGCCCTTAACTACACACAGGAGTACAATTAAGCTCATTCCCTTTCTGGACATCTTATTGTGTGCCTACCCTTTGCCCTGGAATCTGGCCCAGACATGTAGCTTGTCTTTTGGGAAATGGCTTGATAAGAACCTTACAAACTAATGGAAGTGGTGGGAGTATGAGCTGAAACTGCTATGGCAAAAAAATATAATTACTGTGACCCAAAAGATTAGCTTGTCCTTGTAACTCTTTAGAGCATAGAAAATATAGCTGTTTTAGCTGATTTCATAATTTTTTTAACTAGAAGACTTACTAGAATTACTAGAATAGGGTGATTTTATTAATATCAGAGATATGCTTTTAGTTATTGTTTATTTATGAGGTTGTAGAGCCTGCAGTTGAAGGGGGATTTAATGTTTGAAACTTTTGTCTTGGACCTTAATGCTTTTTCTCTTTTGATGTGTTTCACCCATTAAGTGATAAGTTGTGAAAATAAAATGTAGTGGAAATGTATTACTAATTAGTAGGTACCCACCTGTGCCTTAGCCTTGGAGACCTTGCTGTCACCTAATGGCTACTTCTGAAGAATGAATAACGGCTTGCTTTGAAGAACCTGATTATAGTAACTTATGGAATTATCTTTAAGACCTGGTTGACCATAAAGTAAAAATTAATTAATTAAACATCTGTGCATGCAGCTTAGTTTTGAAGTTAAAGATAGTCAAATCGAACGTTTGTGCAGAGGTTTGTGATGTGTCTAAGTAAATAAAAAGGACAGCTTCTTCTTGAGCTGTTACAAGAGGGCACCAAGTGACAGTGTCCGTGCCTTTTCACATTGCTGACTCCACACACCCCTCTCGAGCTCTGAACTCGGCGAGAGCTGGACTCGGGCAGTCTATTATGCAGTAAAATATCCTAAAACAGCATTTATGATTATCATGGTTTCTGTGGATCAAAAATTCATTAATAACTTTAATTCTTGGTGAAACAATTTTCATATGCTCTGTAGCAGTTTTGTTTGTTTCCTTGTGAGAAGTCACCCGACATTTAATGCCTTTTTTTTTTCTCTTGTATTCCCTGTAGTTTTAACTGTTTTTTTAGCTTTTATCCAATATCTGTGCAGGGAAGGAGTGCGGATAAATCTCCAGGCCAGGTGACGTCTTTTATGCTCCTAGATTTTAAGAGTGAATTCAAGTAGCTTTTACATCCTGATGTGGACTAGAAGCTGTGCATTTTCCCCCTCAGTCGGGACCTTAGCGCTCTGCTATGATAGAGACAGATTGTTTCTTGCAAATTTGTCTTGCCTGTGTGCCCAGCTCTGTTGCTTCTCAGACCACACCAGGCCCAGGAAGTTCCTGCCACCGGCTGGTATGTCCCTGTCCCTGCTGCTGTAAACAAAGGGCTGCTGAGGGTTTGCCCTCCCTCTCTGAGAAGCCCATTTGTTGCTGCTTGCTTTGTGTTTTCTTGTTTTTAACTATTTTGCAGCTGCTGCATCCCTCTCTACAACTCATGCCTTCCTGCGACCCCTCCGGTCAGTCTCTGATGCTGATGGTCATTTCTCCTAAAATGTCAGGTCTCTTGTGGTTTCTCTGCAGAGGGAACTTGTTCTGTTTTGGTTTTTATTCTCATTGTTTAATTTTTTTTTTAACACCTGCTTATGAATCTGATAGAAAAAGAGCTCCCATCCACTGAATCTCCAAATGCCTTCAGCTGACAGACTGAAGTGCACAGCTAGAAATTCCATTCACATGTCCAGTATGGTTTCAAGAACCTACCGATTGAGCCATCATTGCTGCCTTCCAAGTTCTTCATCAACAGGAAGCCAGGTGCCAAAGCAGGTACTCTGATGTAGGGTGTGGCCATCCTAAATGCATCTTAACTGCTCAGCCAAATACCTACCCCTGGTTGTTGCTTTTGTTTTTGCTGATGTCTAATGACAATAATGATCCATTTTCTGTCATTGTTTTTTTGTGTAAACTACAAATCTTCAGCAAACAGTTAAAAAAAATAGTGCAATGGATATACAGTGCCTTTTACTCACAGTCCATAGTATTTTGCCATCTTTGTTTTCTGTCTCTGCTCTGTTCTACTGCTACTGGATCATTTGAAACCTGAAAATGTTGATACTTCATCCCTAACTACTTGGCAGGCTCTTCTGAAATTAGACATTCTCCTACATGACCACAATATCAATACCTCACTAAAATGAATTAACATTCATTCAGGATATTATTTAACATGCAGTCCAGATTTCAATGTACCTGATTCCTGCAAAATGCCAGATTTAATTTTTTAATATTTTAATATATTTTTTAAAAGTATTTTTATTTGAAGGAAGATTTATAGAGAGTAAGGAGAGGCAGAGTGAACCATATGCGGGTTTCCTTTCCAAATGGTCGCAATAGCTGGAGCTGAACGAGTCCAAAGCCAGGAACCAGGAGACTCCTTAGGACAGGGAACTGGACCACAAGTGGAACATTCAGGACTTAACTGGAACCTTACCAAATGGGCTTCTGGTGCTACAGGCAGAGGCCTAGCATACTACACCATGGACCAGCTCTTAATCTGGTATTTGACATAGAATCCAGTCAAGAGTCAGGTTTTGACAAAGATCTAATCACCTTTGGTTGTTAAATTTTATTGAATCTCATTCGATGCAGAACTAGCTTCTTTCTCTGCTTTTATTTTTCATGTGTTCATGAAATGCCCCCAAGTGATATTTCCTTTATGCTCCAGGGAACAATGAATATGCCACTTAAATTCTCAGAGGACATGAATTCCAAAATGATTGCTAGCGACATTTAAAAAGCTAAGGTGAGTGTCTTCATCTGAGAAAGGAGTCTACACTTCAACCAAACTGGATGTAGCTAGGAGCAAGCCTTTTCCTGATAAATGCCAAGTTATTTTCTGTACTTGCCTTCAATTATGTTAAAATACATTTTGGTTATCAAATGAGTAGTATGCTTTTTTATTTTAAGGTCAGTTTTTGTCTTCCTTTTGTCTCCTTGTAGTAATTATTTTTTTTAAACTAACCTTGCAAGCCTATCTGTGGTTTGACTTATTTACATCTACCCAATGTATGAATTTCTCTCTAAAATTGCCTTAATGTGGCCCACCTTATATTTTAAATCTTACTTATTTTCAAACAAGTAAAGAACAGCCAATGCAGCAGAACGAGGGGTTGGTGCTACGGCTCAACAGGCCAATCCTCCATCTTGAAGCACTGGCATCCCTTATGGGCATTGGTTCATGTCCAGCTGCTGCACCTCTATCCAGCTCCCTGATGCTTATGGCCTAGGGAGGAAGTGGAGGATGACCCAAGTCATTGAGACCCTGCACCCATGTGGGAGACTGAGAAGAAGCTCCTGGCTTCTGATCGGCTCAGCTCTGGCCATTGCAGCTATGTGGGGAGTAAACACACAAATGGAAGATCTGTTCATTCTCCTATTTGTAAAATCTTTCAAGTAAATAAATCTTTTTAAAATCTTTAAAAAAAGAAAAAGAAGAAAAGCAGAATTAATCCTATTATACTTAGTGCCAATAATACGAAGAATTCTGTCATTTACACTTGTTTAGATTCTTTTTTCATTTAGATAATTTTTGACAGAATGTTTAGTTAAGTATTAAGTTTAAGGCCTCCAACATTTATAGCTGTGTAATACACAGGAAATCTGGAATTGTAAGACAAATTTGGAAAACTCTAGTTAATTGCAAATCCTAATTTAAAAATTTTGACAAAGAACTTTTTAAAAAGATTTCTTTTTTTATTGTTAAGTCAGATATACAGAGAGGAGGAGAGACAGAGAATAAGATCTTCCATCCGATGATTCACTCCCCAAGTGGCCACAACGGCTGGAGCTGAGCCAATCCAAAGCCAGGAGCCTCTTCCAGGTCTCCCACACTGGTGCAGGTTTGCAAGGCCTCGGGACTTCCTCAACTGTTTCCCCAGGCCTCAAGCAGGGAGCTGGATGGGAAGCGGGGCTGCCAAAACCAGAACCGGCGCCCACATGGGATCCCAGTGTGTGCAAGTCAAGGACTTTAACTGTCACACTACCATGCCAGGCCCTTGACAGAGTACCTTTACACGCATTATGTGTCCTGATCTTTACAACACCCTAGGAGGTTGTTAAAAAGGGTGGTGAAAAATCTTTCTTCAAATGGAGAGATGAGGCACTCATAAGCACTCCAGCTATCCTCTGCCACCTTGCAGGGTCCTACATAGGAGCCATAGTGGAAATCAAACCTAAATATGCTTGATCTGGGACACAGGCATCCCAACTGGTACCTTAAATACTAGGCATTTTGCTTTAAACGAGACCATCGACTTTAAACCTATAAAAACAAAGGTCTGGAGAAACCAACCATAATGGTTCCTTTTTATCCTTGGTTCACATATTTTGTTTATTTTACCGATTATGGGAAAGTTAGATTGGAAACCAATGGTTATGAGTAAACAGATAATCAAAACTATAAAGCAGTTTCATTATTGCTAAAAACCCTCTTCAACAAAATAATGCATGTGAGTATATACACTTTTCACTTACAGGTGTACTTTATATACATAGAAACTCTTACTTGTCACTGTTAAAGTCTACACTTTAAATAGATTCTGGGACTGACGGTCATATCCATCAGTTCATTAAACTTTAGCGCCTGACATAGCCCCTGTGATTTTTTGCAGAACTACTGCCTTCACCATGAAGCTCTTGAATCTTCTCCAATTCAGACTCAGAATTTTCACTTTTCTAACAAACATATCATGGAGAAAATGGAGAGGACTTAGCGAAAGGCAAGCCTTTTCTTTGCATTTCCTGTTGCTTTCTGGAATCAGTTGCTTGACCATTTCTATCAACTCATTCATTTGCACCTGTGAAGCTGTGATTTCCAACACCTTCTGGAATTGGCAGACTTGTCAGTGCAGTGTTAAGTCTTCTGTACCTGACTGTTACTTTTTTTTTCTTTACTTTTTTCTTTGTTTAGTAAAACCAACAGAAAAGATGAAGCAAACATTAGTACTTTTGTAATGAACATGGACTTCAGTTGCATTTTGCTCTTTTTACTGAAAAACACGTGGTCATGAGTAACATTCATGCCAGGGAAGCTATTTTTTTTTCCCTGAATATCTGCAGTGATTAGGTTGAGTTCTCTAAATGCATCTTCATCATGTTGCATATCAGCAAGACTCATTTCAAATGCACGGTACTTCATGCAACTTTTAATCCCTATAAGTAGTATTTATACAGTATTTCTTTTATTGAACCAAGCAGGTTCCTTCATGTTACACCAGTGTTTCTTAGAAAACGGATCAGTCACTGTCTTCAGCACTCGTAAAGGGAGTGCCACCTTTCCATTTCTTGCCAACTGCCACAGAGGTGCTGAGAGAACCAAACGCCGTATTATTTTTTTGTTTGTGCTTATTTTCCACTCAACTTACGTTTATTATTTTTGTCACATAAAGATTGACACTGCAATATACCTTCTACATAAGAAGATGCAAAGAGATCCAAACTGAGTCTCAAGTAAAATGATTCATGAAAGAACATTTATTAACAAGTTTCTTCCTGAACTTTCAACTGCTTTAAAACACAAGAAGTATTTCCTGCACTTAAATTTGCATTTGCTAGTTTTTTTACTCTATTAACATGTATTTCTTTACATTTATGAGTAGTGTACAAGCTTTTTGTTACTTTAGCTTAAATATCACAGAGGAGCTACTCAGCAGGGAAGGAGTATTATTGGAGCCTATGCTTTGGAGGCTCATAGTCTAATATCAGGAAGCCCCCATTAGTCTGGAGGCTGGCAGAGGCTGAAGTAGCTGATCATAAGAGCATATGTAGAGGAAGTCACGTGGACCCCAGAAGCAGAGAAACACGCAGGATGCCAGCTTGGCCTGTATGTCTTGAGAACCACCCTCTGAGGGCAAGCCGGCAATGACCTGAACACCTCCCATCAGGCCCACCTGCCAGGTAGTAAAATTAGATCAAGTCCAACCTTATATTGTTAACTATTAACAAAAGACTTTGGGGTTTAAGTACCTCCATGAATTTGGGGAGCCAAATCCTGTTCAACCTGTAATAAGAAGAACAGGTTGGGTGAGACTGCTGTGCTTAAAAATGCTGAGATTCTCTTCTTATTCAGCTTAATGATACTGCCTCAACTAAGCACTTCATTTCATTTGCAGTATTTCTAATCTCTGTTAAGAACAAAAAATAGGCTCTGAAAAATTTGGAATCCTATTGTAACTCTCTTGCCTCGTTGCTCATGTGTTTTCTTCCCAAGGGCCAAGACCAAGTCTTGCTTCTCTTTGTTCGCCTTTGCTTTGGATCTGCCCACAGAAGGGACTCCACGAGTCTGCAGAGCAAAACTACCCTCAGTTGTCCTCCAAGGAGAAAAGAGATGGTAAGGATTTTGCTGAAGTGCTCCCCAAAATAGAAGCAGATTCAGTTTTCCATGACATATACACACTGAGCTTCAAAATGTGCACCCTTGTGTTATATTATCACTTCCCCTTCACTAACAGATCCAATTCTACCTATATATTTAAATAGCTTGAATCAAGTTCTCTCTCCTCAATTCATGTGATAGATTAACATCTAACTATTAGCATTCAAAGAAAGGCATTTAAAAGACTGAATAATAAAATCTCAATGGAATACTAGTCAAAAATGATTTTGTGATGATTTTCATTCTGTGAATATTATTTAATTATAAATGGCAGTTTCTTCAAATGAGAACAAGAGTTCTCTTTCACAAATTTTTAAAAATTCTTAAAATTAGTTTTCAAAATTTAGTGATTCTTTTGAATTTCACCTGGCAGTTTGTTCAATGATTTGTTTTTCTGCTAATTTTTCTTTCTGCTAAAGTTTTATCCCCCTAAATTTTGATTTTCTTAATTGTTGTTCCTATTTCAGGAATCAAAAAAATATGAGTTGTCCCAATCAGATGGGGCAAGTCTAGTTAGTTTTCCCCTTATGGTTCTAAATAGTAGGCAATCTCTAATGGCTACATCACGGTTCTAAAATCTCTCACAGCTACATCATAGCTTCCTATGATGCAGACTTGGTTAGACTTATATGATATGTATATTGCTATTTGCCATACATCATAGCTACTGGGAACCACGTAAACAGCATCTCCTTGTAACTGGTCATCATTAAGAATCATCCAGGATCTAAAGAGTGTTCCTGTCCCTCAGGATCATAGTTAAGTCCTGGTTCCATCCAGTAAGCACACAAAAGACCTCTGAAGCAACTCCTTGTTGACCGCTACCTTCTACACAAGTTTATGAAAAGAATATTAAAATAATATTCTCATAAAGAAAGTCTGAGTTTTGAGAACACATACCAAGTTTGTGCACAAAAGCTTTCTTTTCACCCGTATATAATTGATTCTAGAAAAAGATGATGAGGAAACTATGGACTACATATACCAGTCTTCATGACTCCTAACTAGGGACAGGGAATGAAGAAATAAATAGTTCATAGTTAGGGTTGGTCCTCCGTCCCGTGGTCCAACCATGGAGATGTCACGATGTCACAAGGCAGTGAGTGTCCACACACTTCTGAGAACTTGCTGAGAGTCAGATGTCTTTCAAAGATTCTCATGTTGCTCCAACATTATTGCCCTCATTCTGCTCAGCCAGACGTCAGCCATCCTGCAATACAAATCACAACAACCTGTAGAATGACTGGGTCTCATCAAATCAAACAGGAGTGTTCTAAAAAACACTTGTTCTGATGAATTTGAGGGAACACCTAGCAGTATCAGGATTAAAAGAGATTAAAAATATTATGGAGTCCACCAAGCATATGAAATCTCAAAGACTGCCATATAGATTCCATTAAGGAGCTGTACTTCATACTGTGTTTCACAAAACATTAGTCCCCCAAAATGTTCTTTCCTAAAAGGGGTTCTGTTTAGAGGCAGTGATATGAGCCAGCAGCTTGTTGTCCTGCCATGTGATGCTCTTGGCCATATTATGATGCAAGATGAGGTCCTTATCAGAGGTCAGCGCTTTGATACTGGACTCCCCAGCCTCCCAAATTGTGAGCTAAATGCATTTATTCTGTGTACATGAACCAGTCTGTTACAGCAACAGGAAATGGACTAAGACAACTGTCTTTTTCATGTAAACTATAGGAGTCAGACATGATCTGATGTCAACAATTAATGTGGGGTCATTTTCCCTAGTGCTGTCAATTACTCTTTCCTAGCAAGAAAAAAAATCTTGAATTTGAAAAACCCTTTGAGTACAGACTCAATTCCTAGATATGAATTTATTATGATTTTTCTTTCTTGCTTTATTCCTAAGCCAGAACAAATGACTTCTCATTTGTTACTGACTTGGTTGAGAGTGAGACTGTATAATACATATTTGTATAAATACATTTTATATAAGAGCATGTTATATTAATGAATATATATAAAATTAAAATCTGGTGGTCAATGGACCGTCCCTGTGATCATTTGAATATAAAGACTTAATTACAATGAACAAAATCAACTTTTTAGAAAAAAAAAGCAAACCTTTATTTCTATTTCCTATGGGAATTTAATGATCAAGAAATGTTAAGCATTAGCCTACCTCTGTCAGGCTATGAATTTCTCCTAATTCAGGAGCACGGTTCAAGTTACTTGAACTGCAGATGGCTCTGAGAAGTGAGCTCAAGGCTAAGTTAGGTATTGATTCCACTAAAGCAAATACAACTCCAAATCCAGAGTCCATGGGATGGGCAGCTCACAACTCTAAAGACCTGGAGAAACTGCCTTGCTGGTACCCACACTGTTTATGGCATCTGCAGACTGAGTTGATACTCTGATTTGCTCAATTGTAGGCTTTATCCAGAAATCTTGCACAATTCATCTTTGCTTCTTTTGGACCACATGTCCCTTTGAGAATCTGGTCAATGAGATTAATGTCTCCTTTCCTCAGAAATGAGCATATGTCCATGAATAAAAAACCCTTTCACCAACTAAACTAATTTTTAAACTTTGAGCAAAGAACCCTGGATTATTTCTAAGATAACTGTCCTCTAGCACAAAATCATGAACTTCTTCTTATATGCCTTTATATTCCCAGTTTGGGCAATGCTTAGCTAATGAGGGAAGGGTGGATACTGATAGATTTTCCAAAGTGCTCAGCAAGGGAATTGTTAAATATAAAGTTGGTGTTGCAAATTTGTGCTGACAGCGAGTGCAAGGAAAGTAAATTGATTGCCCAGAGCTGTCACGAGGTGGGGGAGAGTGACTGCTTTTGAGTCCAATGTTTGTCTTGTTTTAAGGAATGACGGTAGATTTCATGGTATGTGATTCATATCTCAATAACTCTCTTTTAAAAAGTTAATATTGTGGGACTGGAATAACCAGCAAATTGAAGATCTTTGTCTCTCACTGTGTCTGTCACTCTGCCTTTCAAATACAGTTAATCTTTAAATTTGAAAATATGAAGGGAAAAAACCTCAGCAATAGCTTACACTACATATCACTGGAAATAAGGTGTGGGTTCCTTATTATCTTCTGTGAAAAAGAAGCTTAAGGGGTTTTGGTTAAAGGTCATTTCGATTTTTCTCGTCGAAGGAAACGATGGAGACAGTATGCCTAGACTGTTTGAAGAGCAGAATATGGAGGATCACCCATGAGAGTAAAGAACACTGGACTGATCCAACAGAAACTCTGCTTAAGCCAATCTGTTTATGAGAATGTTCCAACAGGAATGCAATGCATGCCTCCATGACATTGTCTTAAATGTTAGGAATAAACATCCGCGAAGGCTGGATGGTTGAGCTGGTTAGATGGAATAAGGTTTTAATATCCATTGACATGTATGAGAGCAGAAGGGAATGTGGAACAGAGTGGACTAGTCTGCCACACATACTGGCAAACCAGGGTTGGGGGAGGGCCTGGTTGGGGTTAATGTGGGTCGCTCTGGCTAGGCTGCAGCTCCCAATGGTTTATGTGAGGGCCGAGTATGTGCTGGGCAGAACCAGGCTGGACTGCAACACCCATTGGTTCCAGAGGAAGACAGGGATGGAAACAGAACCAATCCAGCAACTGCAACCACCAACTGATTGACACACTGGACTGTACTGGGCCCTGTGCTAGCAAGCACATACAAGAATCTGGTCTGGGAACACCTCAGACAAAGTTTCTTTGGGGATCCCCCCCAGTCAAGCTTTCAGACTCAGAACACTAAACATCAAACTACAGAGGACAGAACAAGTCAATCAGTCACCTCAGCTATTTGTTGGCAATGAAAATACTGGGCAAACAGAGACGCTATGATGGACTGCGTTGATCAGTGGAATCTCCAACAAACGCATCATGCTTAGAGTGGTAAGAGTGGCAGCAATTCAGAACTGTTGAACTATCAAAACCACTTGGGCAAGACCCTCGGAGCATGCCCCACATCTGGGACCTGGGGTGGGTGGGAGACTGGATAGGGCTTCTCCCTTAAAATCTCTTTTTACATCAGATATATTAAGAAAACAATACATAACTAATTGTCTTACCCATCTTCCTGTAGTGCTTGAACCTTTCTACCCTAATTATGTAAAAAATAATTTTAAAAATGTTAGGAATATGATACCAATTTCACCAAACTCTTTTTGTTAAGGCACCATGGACTGTTGACTCATAAATTTATCTAACTCCATCTTGAATCAATTCATATTTTCAGCATGTTATAACAAATTCCATCTGCATTTTAATTTGCTTGGGATGATTTGTTTGTGGTTCCTGTGTCAGGGCAAAACGTGGCTTATAGAACCTTGTACGCACTGTTTGAGTATCACCACCTCTTTCAGCAGCTTGTTGTAAAGCTTCATTTAGTAGGGTCATGACTTTCCAATTCTTTACCTAAAACTCTTTTGCTCCCACTGTCTCCTCTGAGTTTGGGACCTGGTTTCAACTGGGAAAACTATATGGAACAGTGGCATGTAAGATACATGCAATATTCATGGTTCCTGGAGCATCATTTCAGTATGAAGACAGGACAACCTTAACTAGGATTTAGAATTTGATTCAGTACCATTTTCTCTATGATGAGACTAAGATACAATGAGAAGAAACCATTGTTCCAGGGTCAAGAACAAGACTAAAAGTACCATGTCTTGATTTACAAACATCCGACCTCTTTAAACTAAGAGGCTGCCTCCTAGACCCAATATAGTTAGCTCATCTCAGCACCTTCATCCCCATTCATTTTATTTTGTCTTTTTATACAACACTGACCTCACCATCCTGTCTGGTCTCTTCATCCTGGTCAAGTTCAAACTCGGTACCCCGGTCGACAACATCCACACCAGCCTGTACCCTGGGCTTCTCATTTTCCCATTTGGCAAAACCTTTGTCCTTTGTGGCTTTGTCATGGAACTTGGATTTCATTTTGGGAAAGGTGTGGGACCCCGAATCTCCCCAGCCTGCCTCTGACCAAACAGGTTCAGTTTGGGTGGCCTGACTAGTAGTGGCCCGTTGTAGCCTCACGGAGATCTTGCGGGAAGAACCTGTGACCAGTGTGATGGCTCTGCTGTCCTCTAGGTCTCGATGTCCAGTAGCAACACCAGGAAATTCAAATACATCATCTTGCACTGGAGGGGGAAAAGAAGATGGTTATTATTTGATATCCAGATATTTTGAGAGCAAACCATCAATGTCCATGCAAACAGCATGGTCTGACATGCAAGGGCTGGAGGAACAAACCAGGGATCAAGCTAAATTACCTACAAGTGAGTTGCACATTAAGTCTGAAGGCAAACGGAAATGAGGGGGGAGAAGTTAAGGGTCTAGACACAACACTCCAGTGAGTCCAGGTGTGGGAGGTGAGCAGTAGCTTTGTGGAAGAAAACAATAAAACAGGGGACTTTACCTGGGGGTAGTGAAGGGCTTCCAGGCAGTGATCCATGACTGCTCCCCAAGGAGGGTGCCCGGGCAAATCTTCTGCAGGCCAGAACAAGAAGGTCTTTGCACTGTTTGTGACAATTGGCTCCACAGTCTGAAAAATTCCAAATGAGGAGTGTGAAGCATGGGTATCTGTTGCTGGCTGAGTTGCCAGGATGGCAGGGGAGCGACCAACCCACCCCTCCCCCACTCGCTTCCAAGTTGACTCTCAGAACTCAGTTCAGAGCCTCAGAATGTGTCTGAGGTGCATAAAAGCACTGTGGCACCTTTCTCGTCTTCCCGAGGCTCCTCTAGTTCTCTCATGTTTGCTCAGCTTTTTCCTCTAGCTGAGTCATTGAAGTGCCTAGGGAGCAATATGAAAGCAAGGGCCTAGCTCCAGAGGTTAGCTAACTTTGCACAAAACAAAGTGCAAATCATGTGGACCAGAATTCTTTCCTGGGCCAAGATGGTATCACCACAAAGAGGCTCTGGATCCAGAATGAGGTGAGAAGCTGAGGCTTCTTTCCTGGGACTGACAGCTGCCTCCACCAGCTTCCTGTGAAGTGTTCCCTCAACATAAGTACTTCATTGGATTTTTTATTGCTCGTCATTTCCAGAACATTTTTTCAGGTCAATTAAATGTATCTTGTTTGCTTTTTTTATGTAGAAAACCAGGTAGGCATATGCTCAACATGTCCTATATTTGACTTTGGCTTTGCAATGGCACTGCTATGGCCAGGATGTAGTTTAGGTTTTGCCCAAAGTCCTGTGTATTAAAAGTTTGGTCTCCAAAGTCAGATATTGATAGTACTAAGAGGGTGACAACTTAATCCAGTTATGGTGTTTAGAAGAGTCTTTCCAAAGTGGTTGAATTGGATTGGGCTATTAGGGTGGGGCCATTATTGAATCATTTTCATTTTCTAAACAGTAGCACAAGCTGCATGCTGCCTCTTGTCTTGTGATTCTCTGTGTCAATTTGAAACTCTGCCAGCAAAAACAGACTCACCAGATGCCCAGCTAATAGGGTCACCTGATCTTGGACAGTAAAGCCCCAAACCCATGAGCCAATAAAAACCTTCTCTATTTGTAAAGTTAGTTCCTTTTAGGTATCTCATTAATGTAAGCATACAGCAGAATCAGCAAAATTTCTGAGATGTTTTAGTTAAGCCAGTAGAAAATTACTCCTTCAGATAGAAAAATGCGGCCACGTTGGAAGGCACTGCATGGTTATTTTATACAATGAGGGTCCTACTCTTCAATTAGAATCATTAAACAGATGTGATCATGTTAAAGAGTATTTTCACTCAACCTCAAAGAGGACCCTTCTGATTATTTTCAACACTCATTTTTCCACAGATGATTTTGCTTCAAATAGTCTTAATGTCTTGTCCAAGTTTAATTGGTCTTTTTCTACTCTAGGAGCCATTAGGAAAAAATCCGTATATGTCCCAAGATGAAACAAGAGTTTAATTAATTTTCATCTCCACAAATTTGCGTGTTTATCTTTTCAAATATGGGGGAATAGAAACCAGGGCAAACTAGTAACTCACTGCCTGGCAGGAAGATACTATTGTACTTTGATTGTAAAAATCCAAGTTAGAACAAGACAAGTGATAAATAAGCTCTAAGGGAAGGACCTCCTGAACGTGCAGTGGGGTGGCTCCCTGGGAATAGCAAGGAAGCTGTCTGTTCATACAAAAGAACTAAAACACTGAAAGATGGACATAGAAAGAAAGACATTGTGCAAACAGCATTCATCTAAAGGCATTCTGTGATGACTGTTTCCTCCTGAAAGTCTTATATTTTTCAAGAACATCACCAACTGCTTCAAAGAACCAATATACACTATCTACAAAGTATCCAGCAATTTCTCAAACTAAACATCAACGATGTGAACAATCATACACACATATGCGTATATATGAAGCAACACATTCTCAGACTTATACACATACATATTGCATTCAACACAATTTATAAATTTCAATTAAATGGGGGACATACAGGAATGAATTCATTGAAAGGGGCAAAGTAAGTTTCATATGTCTTATCATCATCTTTAATGATTTCAGTAGAGAAAGGCTTAGACATAAGAAATAGAACATCCCTATGTCTTCTAGAAATGAGTGTGGGTTTTGTTCCCCCCAAAGGGAAGATTTTTGTTTTCAATTTTATTTGAGAGGCAGAAAGACAGACATGCCAAAGACAGACAGAGACAGCAAGACAGGAGTCTTATTCACTTTTTCACTTCCCAAATGCCTTCAGTGGTTAAAAACTTGTATTACAATCCAGGACTCCCACGTGGGTAGCAGGAGCCAAATTCACTTGCGCCATCACCACTACATCTGAGGCATACACAGAAAGGTAAAGTCTGGAGCTGGCTCCAAAAAGATTCTTACATTCAGTATATTAGTCACACTTTAGAATTCCCATCTTAACTGGATGCTGATGATTCTTGAAAGGGATCTTTTAAAGAAAGGACTAAGTGAAAGTATGCTGGTAAGATTGGCTTGCTGCCCTTTCAAAGCAGGTTGTAAATTTTGAATTCTGGCTCTCCAAAACTTGAATAACTTCCTCTGGAATATATTTACTCTTTATGGTCATTGGTATAAAAGACCTAAGTTCTTGATGTCAAGAGATTGTGTTATTGTATCTACAACCAGAGTCAATCTGTCACAAACTAAAACAACCCCCCCCAAAATTTTTTATTTAAAAAAGGAGTTTTGGTTTCTTTTTTTTAAACAGAAAATTTGGGTTTCTACCTAAAATGTCTCAATTTTAAAACCAAAAGCAATATTAATATATATTTACCTTTGCATTTGTATCCTTGCTTGATTATGCCCCAGAGCTGCAAGAAAAGACAAAGGACTGTCAGAGAATCTGAAATCTGGAAGGACAACAAGGCCCTCGAGAAGGAAGTTCTGGGAAGCTTCATGACTGGCCGTGCACAAACAGGATGCCACTGCTCTTCACACTTTTCCTGTCAGAGAGAAGAACCCAGTCCCAGCCCACTCCAGCTGTGGAGTTTTGCTTCCCTTTTATTTCTGAGAGCCAAATGGGAGCTGGAGTGGGAAACTACAGTTGTGTATTTGTTGGACTTTGTCATGATGCACTCTGAACAAGATTTACAGGGGCGATGACCGCTCTGTGTTTGGAAGCTCCTTGCTCTCTCTCTTCTTGATGCTATAGGACATACAGCAATCTATGAAATACCACTCACACTAAAGTGATTGGATTTTTAAACTGTGTTATGTATGAATTTATTTATTTGAGAAACAGTGTGATAAAGACAGAACGAGAAAGCGCCTACCCCACTCCAATACCTACTAGAGCCAGCGCTACACCACACCTGAACTAGGAGCTGGAAACCTCATCCAGATCTCCTACATGGATGGCCAGAATACAACTATTCGAGCCAACATTATTTAGGGAGTGCAGGACTCAAAGCAGGCCAAAATAATACCATCCCACTTGCTAGTACGTATGCTGCTACTCCTTACCAGCAAAACAGGATGGAAGCCCCTTCAAATAAATATTTGCTGATGGACAGTAGCTAATGTACAGCCACCACACTTGTTTCTCAGAGATAATGAATAAGGAAACACAAATACCCCCAGACTAAGGGACCTCAGCAGCCTGGTATTTCTTTCTGCCAGCCCCTCTGGTCCTGTTGTTTGAGCTTTTCTTTTTCGTACTAAAACTTCAGTTCTACTCTCACTTTCAAGTCTGGTCCCATAAATCGTCATCAATGCAGGATGCAAACCCAGACTCATCTCACCAATTTTCTTGCAACATTGTTGCCTGCAAGGGTCTGCATTAGCACAAACCTGGATCAGCATTCAACAGGGAATGAAACCCATTCTGTTATGGGACACTTTAACCAGATCATCCCTACTAGGCTAAATACCTATCACATGTTAGGGCTTCAGTTGACTTACTGAGTAGTACTTGCACCTTCAAAGCTACAGAGGAAGAAACTGATTCATTTACTATTTCCTTTTCTTAAAAGATTTATTTTTATTGGAAAGGCACATCTACAGAGAGAAGGAGAGACAGAAAGCAAGCTCCTTCATCCATAGGTTTACTCCCCAAATGGCCACAATGACTGGAGTGGAGCCCATCCAAAGCCAGGAGCTGGGAGATTATTCCAGGTCTCATGTATGAGTGCAGGGTCCTAAGGCTTTGAGCTATCCTCGAGTGCTTTCCCAGGCCACAATCAGGGAGCTGCATGGGCAGCTGCATGGGCAGTGGAGCACATGGGACACAAACCAGCGCCCATATGGGATCCTGTGAATTGCAAGACAATGATTCAGCCACTGAACCATCGTGCTGGACCCTATTCATCTATTCATTCTTCACAATTGCTCCATGTTTTGACCTCTGCCAGAAGTTAACAACTTCCATTTAGTGAGCCTGTGAAATAAAAATTAAAGGAGGCCGTTGTTTTGGACGAACTTCCTGCAAGTCCCAGCAAATCAGACTGAAAATCAAAATGGAACCAGTGTTACAGTTCACCAAGCTGAAGAAGAAGCAACAGCAGCAGAAGCAGAGCAGGTGTTCTAAGGTGGATGGAGTGCAGCTGACAATGTGTCACAAGTAAACTATGCTCCTGAATGTGGGCATCATGGGTCTATAAGAAACACAAGGAGCTACCAATTGTGAAGTGACACTACAGCTTCAGGGAGACAAGCCCATAATCACCTTCTTTTTGACAAGGAGTTTCTGCCAGTGCAAACCTCAAAGATTCCTTGATCCTGAAAAATTATATGGTTCTTAGAACACATTATCAAGCTGGCAGTGCCTCCTGGGACATGGCAACATCTTGCATGATGGACAGGAATGGGTATTTGGAATCAAGGCCCACGTGCATAGGATGACTGAAGACCAATGGGAGAAAAGGGAAGTAGGTGATCAGGATAGTCGTTTTTTTTCTCCCAGAATCTTACACCTCTTGAAACAATCTAGTTTGCTCTTCCTTTCTGAAAGGTAAGTCAGGTCAGCTCATTAAGAAGACACTTAATACACACACACATCCTCTATTGTAGAGTGTGGCTTTGAGTCAAATTTCTGCTAATGCACACCTAGGAGGTAGCAGGAGATAGATGACTCATGCACTAGGGCCTATCCCTGGCTTTTATAGGCATTGGGGAGTGAACCAATGGAAGAATATACCTTTCTATGTTTCTGCCACTCTGCCTTTCAAGTAGATGAAAATCAACACTTTTTCTTAAAAAAACAAAAGAAAAAGAGAGGACGGGGGAGGCACTACACTGAGAGTCAGGAGGCCTGCAGATGACTCATGGTCCCACTTTTAATGATCCATGTGACCCTAGAAAAGTCATTTTCTTTTCTCCAGAGCTCAGTTTCCTCATCTGCAAAACAAAGAAGACACCAACACTCTTTTACTTCTGTAAATCCAATTCTAAAATAAATGGATTGCAAATCAAGTCATGTCTCTTTGTCTTCCTTACTCTGTGATCTGAACTTATTTCAAAACAAATAATGCAGACACTGGAAGCAACCCCTTTCATTCTTCCACAATTCTGGTCAGTGGCACATATCTGTAATTATATCTTCCTTTGAAAACCAATGGATATTTTTTTTTGATGTATGTGAGTGACACAAGTCTTATCAATAAAGTTGAATACATTTTGAAAAATGCAAAATACTATAAAAATTAAAAAACAAGTTAATTTCAATTAAACTGCAAAGGTATCAAAGGGAACTAAGACAAAAATACAATGAGCTGCATGACATGCAACATGCCAAATATTATTTTGCTACCACAACAACATGATATGTATTTTTCCTCTTTAAGAAGATTATTGATTTATTTGTTTGTTATTGGAAAGGCAGATGTACAGAGAGGAGAAACAGAAAGAAAGATCTCCCATTTGCTGGTTCACTCCCCCAAATGGCTGCAATAGCCAGAGCCAAGCCAACCCAAAGCCAGGAGCCATCAGCTTCTTCCAGGGCTCGCCACTGCTGGTACAGGGTGCCCAGGCTTTGGGTTGTCCTCTACCACCCTCCCAGGTCAAAAGCAGGGAGATGGATGGGAAGTAGAGCATCCGGGACAAGAACTGTCACCCATAAGGGATCCCATACATAAAGTGCTATAGCCACCTGTGACTATCTTGAGGTAATAGCTGCCACTCTTTCTCAGGTGGTTGCAGGTTTGAACACAAATTCCTGCCCATGTGCTCCCCCAAGAGAAGCTGTCATCTAAGGGTAGCATATATGGATCACAGTGCTAAATAAAGCTAACACAACTGAGTTGTGGCATCAAGGGAAAGAGCCAACATCACACTCATGTGCGTGTGTGGCAACCCTCGCCTGAAATGCCACATTTTCCAGTTCACTTAACTTGAATGTAGACTAGATGATGTTCAGGGCCAAAGGCTGACCTCAGTTCCTAGGGAATTATCAATATGAGGAATAAAGGATGCAGTCTTCATTTGTTGCTATGATGTAACTACAGCACAGAGGTCAATCAGAACACCTGTGTCTGGGTCCAGTCTCCAGTCATTTGAAGCTGTGCAATCCTAAGGAACTTGGGTCATCCTCTCTGTGGTCCTCTATATTAACTTGTAAAGTTAAGGACTTGTTACAAGGATTAATGAAATAAATGTCTGGGGAAGTACTTTGTAACTGCCAAGTGCTAGGTGAATGTTATTTATTATTATAACCATCTACTCTCCAAATGATATTTTTTTCTTTTTTGAGTTAGGAATTATTGAGCCATGCTACAGCTCTTCTGGGAGGAGCTGACTAAGATAAATGTTCCCCTTAATTGCAATCACTTATGAATATTAGTGATGAATGTCAGGGCTCATAGGGTTGACAAACCACTCTGTTGTGTTAGCAACCCTCACCCACCCGCCCTATGTTTGCCAGTCTTGCATTCCTAAAGCATAGCAAATCTCACAGATCTTGCCTTAGTTTGCAGAAAACCATCATGACTTATTTTTAACCCAAAGGAGGCTCTAGCGAGTGTGTTATTTTCTAGCTTCTCTAAAGCCTGCACAAGTACCAGCCCACCAAAGAAAATGATGGAAAGCAGACTTACAAATCCTGCACAGTGTTCACAGAAGGTCGGCTTCAGATAGGTCATCTCCTGAAAATTATGGACAAATCCTGGTCCCATTTTACAGTGGAGCTGGGATTTAGCTCTTAGGAAATAAGCCATCATTTCATCTTTACTGATTAAACCATCTCTGTTAAAAGATCAAAAAACGAAATCGTTGAATATCATGTTGCTAAGTAGTTGCCACATTTTAAACACCTACTCATCCCCATACTTTTGTGCCCAAAAGGTCCAAAGCCAATGAGGAATGTTGATTTCTCTCTTATATCTAAAGGGAGACAAAAATTGTAAGATAAATCACTTCCCCCCCAAAAAAACCAGTTCTTAGAAAGCTTTCTGTGGGAAACCAAATCCTTACTAGTGGCTTCCGGAAGTAGAAAATGTTTACAAAAGTGAACAAATATGTATCTTAACATACTTAAAATGTATATAATAAATGTATTTGATAAATATATTTTTGCAATAGCATATACAAATAAAAATTATACCAGTGAATTAGCCCATTACTCTCTTAGAAAATCACAACAAAAGCACCTTAGTGTGTTAAAAATTTTGAGAAAATCATACAATAGACAATTATTTCATTAGGTTTAACCCTTGTTTGCCATACTTGACAAATTAATACATTTTGCAGAACTACTAATTAATACCTGTTTTTGTGAAACCCAATGTGGAAAACAATAACTTAGAAAAAATTTTTTTCTGAGAGTTTCTGATATTAACCACTCAAATTTCAGAGTGATTATCCAAGGAACAGTTTGAGATATTAACTTAAAATCTGACAAATTATATAAATAATCTATGACTAGTTCAAATCTTTTTTAGGAAAAAAAATTTATAGGAATCTACAGATATTGATTCAGATAAAGATGGTGTGATAAAGACAGTTTTAACAGATGGTCTCAGTTCTTTTAAAGGTGTAGCAGAGGAAAGAAATGAAAACTGGAAAGTGACTTTAAGTCCATGTTCTAATACGTAATTAATGTTCTATTAAGTAATTAATAACAAATTAAATGAAGAAATGAGTAGTTATCATTTTTGCTTTGTCAAAGAAGTTTATGTTTCTAGTAGTATCATTTATTTTAAAAGTGTTTTTCATTCTACCTATGTAGTAAGTTTAAGATTTCAAGTTATTAATGTTAAA